CTAAACCCCCAACCCTAAACCCTAAACCCGAAACCCTAAACCCTAAACCCCCTAAGTCAAGAAAACCTCTCATGAGGGCCTGAGGGCCGAAGTCCAGATCTGAACCGCGGCAGCACTCGACACTTCCAGTCATCAGTTCCAGCACCAGTAGAATCTACTGTAACAGGGACCTTAAACGGCCCTTTGTGCTCTTTGCGGGTGCGGAGGTAAACCAAGAAACCGACTCAGCACCCGGGAGAAAGCAGGCCTTCGCTACAGCGGCGTAGCACTTTGCTACGCCGAAGTTCCAACCCGAGGGCCCTGACCTGAACCCTCAAGAATCAACCCTGCAAACCCTGAAGTCAAGTCGAAGCCCTAACCCTTCAAGTCAAGTCGAAGCCCTAACCCTTCAGCAACTCCCGCACGGGAGTGAACCTAAATGACCCCAAGCAGCACACTTGACAAACTGCGTATTGCACCTGGTAGCCAAATCTGTCGGATGATCGACTTCTTCACCACACCCACCTGAAGCTCCTCACAGCAGGGCTTTGAGTGCAGGAGCACACCTCCAGCACTTTCGGACATCTAGAATCGAAAAATTAAGGCCCGGGCTGATTTGGGACAAAGATCTGCAGATTTGAGGTTCAGGATGCGGGCATCTGGGAGACTTGACGTTTAAGGGCTTTGTTTTTTGGACTCACGTGGCTGTTTCCACCGCAGAGATCTGCTGGCTATTCCAGCTCAGCGACATCGAGCTCAGAGAGCTGGGCTTCGCACAGCTCTCGTTGTGAGCCTGGCATTGGCCGCCACGTGAACAGCCGAGTGGAGTGACTTGCCGACACCCCGCTCGCTCACTTGGTGGATTCGAAATCTTTGCTCCACCACTGTCGCATGGACAAGCAGCTCTGGGCGCCTTTCCTTGGGATTTAGGGTTTAGGGCCAGAGTTTAGGGTTTAGGGCAGGGTTCAGGGTTTAGGGTTCCTAGAAACACACAAGCCCAAACTGTCCCTGAACATTTGGTGCAATGGGGACAGGGATGGGAGAGAAGGGCTCCAAGGTCCCACATCCACGTCTCAACTTAAGTTAAGGTCACGAGCTGGTGCTTTATTGCAGTCAAAAGGGGGCAGCAAGCCGAAACCACTGTCATATACCCCCCTTTCCTGCGTTCCTCTTACAAAGCAGAAAACTCTGCTTGAGAAACGCCCCGGGCTTCTCCCTGAGCAGGACTTCCAACTCCGCAGAGCGACAGAAGAGAACCAAAGCGATCCTCCTCCCCTCGTCCCAAAAAACCCGGTGCGCCATCTGGTTGTTGCAGCTCCTTGGCTTCTCTGGGACTCTGGGAAAAGCAGCTGCCAGTTTATTAGTCCTTGGAACCTTTGGAGGCAGACCTGCTCAAAGCTCTGTCGCCTAGGGTTGTCTGACTGTATGAAGAAAGAAAGGAAGTCTGCAGAACACCCGAGGCTCAATCCATGGATGGCCAAGTTGCCAAAACACGGCATTGAAGAAGCCACCACATCTTCCAAGCGACTCCCATCTGAGGAGATTTGCCGCCACTCACATCGACCATCTCCCGACGATGCGAGCGTCAGGACTGCCGTGAACAAGTGGCGCTGGAGGTCCATGTTGTCCTGGTGCCAACCAAGCAGATGACCTCGCTGGTAGTCCAGCACATCGCCAAAGGTCACCTCCACACATTGGCCAGAGAAAGAAGCGATGAGATGTTCTGCAGCTTCCAGGATTGCAGGGCAAGCTGATCGAAATCGCTCCCAGTCGTTCTGCTTGCAGCGGGGACCCAAACAAACCTTGTCCGGTTTTCCTGCCCGGCTCCAGGTCACTTCGGGAAAGCTGTATCGCATCGCATCAGCTTCCTCAACGTAAACGCGATCTGGATGGGGCAGGTCCACCTGAATTGCCAAGGGCTGCGGCGAAAAAGCTATATCTTCTGCGGATGGCAGCTGCCAATGAGATTTAAGAGGAGGCTGAAGCCCCTGCTGCGGGCAACTGGCCCGAGGGCCAGCTTTCAAATCTGGCTGCTGCCGAGGTCTCCGTAGACCTCCCACCCTGGACATTCACAAGAGGCGCCTTGTCTAAATGCCAGCAGGGCTTCTTTGATGTGAAAACCACTCAAGGAAGCCACGGCATCTTTGAAAGAGGCACCGTGGCACGATTTAAGCTGAAGCTTAGGGCCTTGATGTGTGAATGGGCAAGAAGATGTTTAAGAGCGCCTAACCCGAAGTCCAGAGCTACCTCTCTCAGACATGTATGTATATATATATATACACAAATAAAAAAGGCGACTGACTATTTCGGCGTGACTATTCACACTCACACACAAACGGACATACGTTACTTCTTATCTATATGTTCATGTGTACAAACACTCCATGTGCGCTTGTGCTTCCACCAGGGGCTTGATAGACAGGCGCTGCACATCACCCATGCAGCAAATGCCCTGAACCCTACACCCTAAAACCCTAATTACTAAACCCTAAACCCCAAGCCCCAATTCTGAGGCAAAACATATCACCACCCTGCTCCAGAACCCTGTCCAGCCCGAAGATGTCAAATTTCTCAGGCCATAAATTGCCGTAGATCCCACACCTCAGCCTCCCCCGCAACCCACAAACTAATTATTGGAAGTTGGAATTCGGAACTAGGGCGGGGGGAGGGAGTGTGGAGAGGGAGAAGTGTGCAAACCTCGGCATGTCTAGGAGTTGGAGCTACGGCGTTGAAACAGAACCGCCACCGCCTACTTTGAGGCTTCTACCGCTTGGGACTTTGGGTTTGTCCGAGCCCCCGAAAAGAAGAAGAGTTTTATACGCCCATAGTGCTGGCACGCTTGTTGGGGAAATTCCCACCCCAAAACGAATTCATTCCAGGATGCTGTGCGATGCTCTGGGGGTGGCACTCTTGGGATTCTCCAGTGCTTTGCGGGACTCTGGGATGTTCTGGCATAATTCTCGCGCGGGTTGGGACACTCCAGGGATACAAACAAAGCCCTGTTGGATCGTAAAGTTGGGCTCAATGAGGGTTTAGGGTTTAAGAAGTAGGGCAAACTGCTGCAGGTGCCTGGCAACCCACGGCCCAACGGTGGGCCAACATCGACTCACGGTCGACGCTTGGCAGGCCGGGGACCTTCACGAGAGACTTTTTCAGAAGGGCTTAGGGTTTAGGGATTAGGGTTCAGGGTTTAAACCACTGTTTCAATGCATCTCACCTATGTTGAGGCCGCTTGAAGGGCTCCACGCGGTAGGTTTGAAGCTTTCATCAGTTGCGCTCAACTTGCAAAGCCCCCTGAGCCCCCAGGCCTGGGGCCCGAACCCCCAAACACCACATGACAGCTCTGCTTGGGGGCTTCCTACTCTTTGGCAGGCAAAATTAGGGGTCCCTTATTTTCGTAGACCCCTAGGTGGATAGGGGCGGATAGGGGCGGATAGGGGTGGATAGGGGTGGGTTGGGTCCAGGAAAGCTCAGGTTCCTTGACTCGCTGCCTTCTGGTTGACTTCTTTTGTTCCCGACGCGTTAAGCCCCCACGGCGCTGCGACCGTAGGGACGAGGGGTCTGCTTGGGGATTCAGGGATGCAGGTTGCTGTTCTCGTCATGCGCATCAGTGTAGAGAACAGCCGGAGTGGGATACAGCAGACCTGCCAAAGGTAGCACCGATGTTGAAGGTATTGGCCGCTGCTCTTCGGGAATAAATTCAACTGACATTTCTGCCCGCCTTCCGTTTGCTGAGACCTATCCACTGGAGACCCAACCCTCCCCCCTACACTCTCAGCCGCGGGAGCAGCATTTTTGATACCCTTGTTTGATACCCTTGAAAAGGGCAACTCCTGCACTCCACCTTTCTCTGATCTAAAGAAGCAGGGCCAAGCCGGCCGCGCCTCGGGATCCATGTTGAAGCCCTCGGTCGAAGGCACCGCCATCGCTTTTGCACCTAGAGGGGCACCGGGCGCTTGTCAGAAACCAGGGATGAGGGTACGCAATGTGTGGGCTTTGAGAGCACCATGTGTAATCATGTACAACAGTACAGAGTGCTTCAAGGGAGAGTCGCAGTTTCCAATGCTGTAGAGAATTGCAGGACCTCCCGGAATCCTAAACCACAGCACAAACTTCAACTTCACAGTTGCAGGCCGCGTGCGGATCCTGACCAAGTATACAGTCAATTTCCATCAGTGGTCAAGTGTTGCGGCAACATGACCTTCTGCTTTCTGGGTGGGCTCCATTCGCACCTTAAACAACCGGTGTCCTGGACCATATACACCCGTGGTTTGCACTTCTAACTTCTAAACTTTCTAGAAGGCAAACGAACCTAAAACACTGCGCCTCCTCCACAAGCTGCGGGGAGAAGGGTGCTTCTGCCAAGCCGGCTGGACTGAAGTCAAGTGGTGAGTCGTGGCTGTGCCCTGTCGACGTGTAACTGTGTGGCCTTCATGTTCCTGAGGACTCATGGGGAATGTTATGTGGCACTAGATTGCTGTAAGTTCTCTGTGCAGGTGCTGAACAGCGTTGCATACGGAGTGTGCCTGCCTCTGCTGCATCAGTTTGTCAGCTGGTGCTTACTTTCTGCTACCCTCAACTCCTTGCAAGATCAGACAACTCAGAATTCAAGCAGTGTCGCACATGAGAGTGCAACGTGTTATGTGGAGTGTGCACGATTTCTCGGCATGTTCGACGCACGCACGTCAGTGAGTTCTGAGAACCAGAGCAGCAACAGAGAAAGCAGCGCTGCACGCCCAAACATCTGATGCACTCCGCCGAAAGCCCTAAGTGACGTCCGAGTTCCAGGACTCCAAACCTCTAAGACGCAGGGTCTTTCAGATTTCCGGAATGTGTCCCAGCCTGCCCTGCAGTCCTGAACCTCGCTCTTGAATTTATGGCGCCTTGAAACCCCGAATGGCCCTGTACACAAACTCGTGGGGCTACGAAAACTCGTAAAGCTGCGAACCACAGTATGAACTCTACTGCTTCAAGAGAAAGGGCAATGGAGAACAGCCCCAATCAGAAACGACTCAAACCACCTTCTCCTCTGGGGACATGGAGCTTGCCTCAGCATGAGCCATCAACGAGCTGACTCTAGCCCTATCAAGACATGTGATGCCACAGCGGTCGTTCTCATTGGAGGGGGGGGGGGGGGGGGTGAGGGTGAGGGCGGGGGCGCGGGGAGGCTGCTTTCGGTGCGTTCCCTGCTTGAGATTATTCACTCACCACAAAAAAACTTGGTCATGAGATGTGAACTGCCCTTGATCCTGGAGCTGCGAACCCCTGAGTGACCGCTGGGGAAAGAAAAAACTCCTTGCTGAAGCTGTGCTTGAGATGTTGGATGCAATCTGACATGAAGCCTTTGATGCGCGTGAAAAGAACGTGGGCGCTAGGCTCGCGACGCCCAGCTCATTAGGGCCCTAACGGGTTGTTCTGCCTTCTGGTTTGAAAGGAGGGCGGCCGGGGAGGGTGGGAGGGACGAGGGGGGGAGGCGTTGGGGGGGGGGGGGGGGGGGGTGATGCCGCTTTCTACAACATATATAGAAGGCCGCGGCCACAAACAACGTAGCCGAAAAAATGGATAAAAAAAACAAGCCAATACCACCGGCTCTAAAAGCACGATTTTGGGCGGAGCCATGTTATGGCTCAGGGAGAAGTTGTTTGTCTGGGGGTCCGGAGGACAAGATCTCTGCTCCCTGCAGTTCCACGGCAGCATTCCTCGAACTTGAGGATATCGGCACGGTGCAACTCATTGAGCTCCCTGAACCCTAAACCCTAAACCCTGAACCCTGAACCCTAAACCCTAAACCCTAAACCAGACAGCTCCGGAAACCTGCGGGTGCATGCAACGTTCACCGCCAAGATCTGCATCGTTCTGCTAAGCGTGGGAACAGAAGCCTTACTCGGAAACTGGCATGCCAGCGTGCAGCGCGCAAGCAGTGGCAGCATGCCATCTCACTTCAGTACATGTATATACATGCGGGCCATTGGGAGTCAGTCATTTCCTTGTCGAAATTCCTAGGCCATTTGCAATCTGTGCCTGGATAGATCGTTGCTGGAAATTTGTACGTGGACCCCACTTTAACGTACAACAGCCTACAGCCCAAGACCTTTCTGCAACTGCCCGCAGCAACCTGAACCGCAAAATAGGGAACATCAGAAAAACCTATCACCTGCAAGTGCCTGAAGGGCAAGATGCTCTGAAGAATCCTAAGCCCTGAACCCCAACTTACCCTTTCCACTGTTTCACCCATGCTCTGAAGGTCCGGGCTGACCGCGCCGTATCCATGCCACCAGTGTCCTCTTGTGGTTGGTGGGTGAAGCCATGCGCATCTCGTGAGTCAAAAACTTCTGGTTGGCGTCTAGGCGCAGTCGCCAGATGCAGGGTACAGGTGCATAGTCCGGATGCTGACATAGATACTGTTTTCAGGACTCATAGGTCATATCATAGGTCTTCGTCTTCGTGTAGTCTACATGAAACGGAACAGCTTTGGGGTGGCATCTACGCAGACCCTTATAAAACTGTAGTAGTGATTTCTGGCGCGAGAGAACCGTGATCAATGGGGTCCGCTGGCAGTGTAACCCGCACGAGTTGCTTCAACTGCCGTGAGAGTAGTGTCTGTGAAGAAGTGGTGGGTTTGACGGCTTTCTCCCACACCGCGCGACTGGTGATACGCGAGTAGTATGATGTCCTGATTCCCATACAGGGTTTTTAGTTTGGATGCTGTGTCCAAATTCTGGGCTTGCTGGGCCTGGGAACTAGGGGAACCTCAACTCCAGAAAATCCCTGATGCGTCTGAGCATATCGGCAAGTCATTTTTCGGGATTGCGGAGCATACCGGGTAGGAGTATGACTGGTTTACCTACACCGAAATTGGCGGGAATCCCGGAGACCAGTGAGAACTTCTCGACGTCATAGAAAAGGACCGTCATGACCATGATGAACAAGGCTCTGGGATCTAGGGCTCAGAAACCAGGGCCGCCGAGGAGTCTGCAACCTTAAAGAACTCCCTAAGATGGCCTCGAACTTTGAATTCCAAACCCGAAATCCGGATCGGCCTCGGAGTCGCGTGCGGTGGACAGCGCCTCCTGGGTGGTAGCTCGGGTGCGCTACCAGGGAGCCAGACATGTCCAAGAAAACACGGATTTCTCAAGTACAGCACAATGTACTGACACCACCGGGGGTGGGCCTTTGGGTCCTCCACCGCCTCGTTGTCCGCCAAGGCCACACCAGCCTGGCCCGCGGGGCCACCCAAAAGTCTGAGTAGGGAAGAGCAGATTTTCCAAGACTCCCTGTTCTCAGGCAAAGCAGCTTCCTACTGCAAGCCTGCTGTCGGCACTGCCAGGAGATTGAAACTTGTCATTTCGGCAAGACTCGGTCTTCAAATAAGCGCCTCAAAAAACAGCTGAGTTCACATCCTCAGTCAGCTCACTGAGTTTGAAGGCAGAGCGATTTGGGGCTTCCAGGCTTTGGATGTGGCACTTTGGAGTCAAGGAGCTCGAAGGAGAATTCGAGAGGCCCTGAAGATGATACTCCCTCAGCTGCGGCTTTTCTTGCCGCAGGAATTTGGGATTCTGGGTCTCACTGCCCCCCGCCGCGGGCTAGGGGGGGGGGCTGGGGGGGACCGGCAAGGAGCTCATGATTTTTGAGGGCTTTGGGCTCAAAGCTTCGGCCTTCGGCATCTTTGGAAACTGCGGCGCCGCAGCAGACAGCGGGTACAAGGTCGATGCCTGCCACTTCTAATTAGGGCTTAGGGTTTAGGGTTTAGGGTTTAGGGTTTAGGGTTTACGGTGTAGGGTTGAGGGTTTAGGGTTTAGGGTTTACGGTGTAGGGTTTAGGGTTTACGGTTTAGGGTTTAGGGTTTAGGGTTTAGGGTTACACTTCTTGAGGCGACCGTTTGAGATTCAGGGTCAAGACTAACGCTACGCTACACAGTTCTCAGAGTGCAACTAAGGCTTGCGATGGAAAATTGCAGGGCTCGAAGATATTCATGGTCCGGAGCTGCAAGCGCTTGCTTGGGGAATTCGGGTTCAAGGAATGAGAAAGTGCTGTGGTGCCCGGAACCGCAGATTCCGAATGCAGAGCACAACCCCAAGCAGAGAAGCCCAGAACTCACATGCCAAGACCCGGGGTGCGCCAGCGTAGACTGCGAGCCGCAAGCTCGGACCAAAGGGTTGGCTCGGGTTGGCTTACCCTCCAGGCCTCAGGGACGACCATGCTGTCAGGGACCACGGTCACCTCGCTACGTTGCCCACATGTGGGTCTCAAGTCACCGTCCGCTAGGGGCCTGCAGAGGCTTCTAGTGGTACGGGCGGAAAAAAAAAAGAAACAGACCTTGGACGCTGCGATGCATATCGCCCAAAAGTCGCACCCAGAAAGCAATAAAAAGGCAAAGCCCTGCAACAGATCACTACAAGGACTGAGTGTGGTCAACAAGTTGTTCGCATCTGGTAGAACGTGACCTGGAGCCTTTGCTGATAGACGGCAGACCATACCTACGATTCTGCACAAGCCGGCAAACATCAGTTCTAGACTTTGCCGTGCCTGATGTTCTACACTCTTCATGGTTGGCAATAGACAAAATTTTCACGAACATGTACTTTCCATATGCTATGAGACCTGCCTAAGAAAGGAGGAAACTATATATCATACATAAATACACATACATACACATGCTCCCCCCCCCCCCCCCCAAAAAAAAAAAAAAAAAACGATATCTACTTCGGTTGTTGCAAATCCTCGGCGCTTTCAGTGCACGATAAAGAAACAAACATCAGAGGATTAATTAAAACGCTGCACTTTAGTTTCTGCGCGTTCTGTCGACTTCAACGCCGGCAAAATGCTGTCACATCCAGTAAACACAAAATGCAGTGGTGAGAACAGCCACGGTATGGAAGACATGAACTCTGCGTAAGGTAAGCTGATTTTGTTCGCTCCTGACGAATGCTGCATACATTCTTCATGACTGTGGTGATGTCACTTTGCGAGCGCGATAAAGCTTCAAGTGCTTTTGCGTGGTCCGCCTTATCAAATGTTTTTTCCCAATCCAGTCTTACTATGTTTGCGCAGCCATGCCGATGAGCAACCTCGCTATGAAATATCTGGTGCAAAGCAGTTTTGACATCCATGATTCCAGCGCAGGCTCTTCTGCCAGAACTTTGTAAACCGCCTGGAGAAGCGCGACTGGGCAACGATTCGAACTTTGCTGAGCCACGTTTTTCGTCGATGGTATTGTTCCAAAGTAGCCCTCTGTCCAAGTTTTCCTACCCACAGCTTACAAGCTGGATCCATGGTATCTCGAAGCATGAACCGGACGAACAAAAAAGAAGCTGCAAATCCACTGAGAGCGCTTGGGCCACCAGACATTCTCCGCATTCGAGGTCGACGCGACCTTGGATTTCAAGGCTTGGACTGAAACTTGCGACTCAGGGAGCACCCTGGTACCGTGGAAGGAGGTGGTCCAGGAGATGCACGCTTGGTGCCGGTCACTGCGTGAGCTCAAAGCCCTATAGGCCCTAATTCCCAGGCCTCGAAGCCCAAACCCCTAAGCACTGCAGACAAACCGAAATACGTGGAAGCATCACTCCACCGACGTGCAGCTCCGACCGAATGCCCAACACCCTCCATAAACCACCCATAAGACCAACAGGCAGAGGCCCCGGCGCAGCAGCAAAACAAGCGATCCATTGTCAGGTCCCTCGAACAGCCTTGCGGGTCAAAAAAATTGGGGCTCCATGACTGGAGATTTTAGCCTTCGGTACGGGCATTGGGTCATTGGGCTTGAAGGTTTCAGGCGGTCGAATTGGTTATTCAGGGGCTTGCACGCTTGGGGCTTGAAGTGGGGGTGTAGGGAGTGAATGAAAAGAGCGGGCATCAGTCCGGGGAAGCTGCAAAAGCGAACCAGGAAAGGGCCTTACATTCGACTGTTCTTTGATAGTACGCATGCATTGACATAATTGCCCGCACCATGTTATTGTCAGAGGCGACCGAGCCGATCTCAACCGAGGCTTCCGGCTACTGTTGCCTGAACCCGTCTGACACTCCCCCTCTCTGCGCTCTCAGAAGTTGGGACCTTGCCTCGCCGCTACCGTGCGGCCGAGGCGGGTCGCGTAGCGTTGCAATTCAGGAATTCGCACGGAGATCACCCGAAAGCTCGAATGCCGCTTCCGCTGCTTACGGACAAGTCCCTTCGCAGCACACCGTGCGCAACCTCAGGTGATCCCCTTAGACCCCGACCCCGAACCCAAGCCGAGATTGGTAACTCCCAGGTCTTCGAGGCATTTCGGGCCTTTGCAAGCCCTCAGGAGGAAGTCATGGTGACGAGGCTGTAAGGTGTATGCATGTGAAGGCATATGTAGGCTGCGTGGCTCAGGATTCAAAGGTTTGGGGACTTGGGTTGACAGGTTGAGAAAGAGGCTTGGGTATTTTAAGACTGATAGACACTAAGCGTCAGGAGCACGCTTTGAGCCAAGTGTTCGGAGGAGCAAAGTGTGCCTTTCGCCTTTTCGCAGCAAAGGGGCGAGGACTGCTCGCAGCTTTGAAACCCTGGCAATCTGCTGTGTAATTGAGTAAAACCTAGTGTAAATCAGTGTGTTTTCGTCTAACGCATCGAGTTGAGGGCCCTGGCTTGATCAGCTGAGGGCAGCTTTCAGGAGGTTTGAGCTTAAGCAGCTCTGGCAATCCTGGGTTGTCAACCAGACCTCAACTCCGACTACACTGTGGCCCCAAATCTTCGTGGGTTATGCTTGGGGTGCTGCGTAGAGCCCCAGAACTCCCTTGCTGTCATATCGTACTTGCGCTGAGGCTTTCCAAACACATCCTCAATAACTTTTCCGCGTGAAAGGGACACTTGCTTGCGTGAACGAAGCACAAGCCTTTGCTCTGCAAACCTAGGACGGGTGAAAGAAGCGGCAGATAGCAAAATGCATTCATGACAATCAAGGATCGCAGATTCCTCGTAGGAGTGCCAGCCCACATAGGACCATGTTCACAAATGCCAAAGCTTCTGTTGCTGATGGGATGGTAGACTGGTAGACACACAGTGTGTGAAACACTAATTACGCTCGGGCTGTCTCACTTCAAAGGCCGGAAACTGCCCAGAGGGGGGTTCATTTCAGCAGGGACGTCTCGATTGGACCAATCGGCTGGTCAGACATTTCTCATCGGGAGTCACGCGTAGGATTCATTCAATCCCAGGAAGTGCTGAGTTTGAGGATCAGGGTCGAGCTTTGCTCAGGTACAGATGTGACTTGCTATCGCCTGAAACCCCTGGGCCCGGTAACCGCACT